GCTCAGTTTCAAAAGTTTTCTTTTCTGTACATTTATTAGAAATTCATGAAATTCTAATTGGAGAAAAGTTAACATTTCAATGCACTTCACATTAAGCATTTTTAATTTTTCCTAATTTTAACATTTTATATCAATAAAGAAACCTTGTATCTTGAAAAATTCAAACTTCTCTTCAAGTTATAAGCCCACAAAAATTTTCTGAAATGGAAAATGGTTTTTTATTTCTTTTCATGTTTTCATTTTTCAAATGACCTTCAACTTAATTTTCTTCCTTTTCTTCTTTCTTCATCAAATCTTTCTCTGATTGCAACCCTAACCCTTTCTTAAATTGAAAATTTTTCTTGCTTCCAATTCACAAAGCCTATTTTTTGTCATCTTCACTTTCAACACCCCTTTTTACTTTTTTTTTATTTTAGCACCAACTATATAAAAGTTGCAAGAAAGACAGAAATTCTCTCTATATCAATGAATTTCTGCTGACAAATTCTAATTATCAGCAAAATTACATTGGCTTAGATGGTTGCCCTTGGAGCAATTTATTCTCAACAGCACCCAATGAAATTTCTGTACATAGATGTTAGTGACATGTCATAGGTCCAAGAAAATTCACATACAATCAGATGTCATTGAATTGGCCAAGATTTTCTGGGTTTTTTTTTTTTTTTTGCCTTCTTCCTGTACATTTAAAAAGCAGGCTTATGCATTTTGCATTTCCTGAATTTTTTCACTCATATTTGCTATGTAGCAGATAACCAGGCAAAAGATCATTTAAAGTATATTTGACTAATATGTAAGTGTGTGCATAGTGCCCCTAATTACTGACAAGGTTATTTATGTATGGATTGATACTTAAGATTAAAGTAGTTCCATACTCTGCCTAGGATTACAGTGTAGTATCTGTGCACTCTGAGAAAAGTGTTACAGACAAAAATGTATATACATATTGCATTATATACATGTAATATGTGTTTGTGTATGTGTGAGCTTCTTTTTAAAATGCTTTAAATTTTCTTTTAAAAGACATGCTAATTTTCATATAATTAAAGTCATCAGCTGACTCTCAAAATCCTCATGTCACAACAAGAATTTAATTTTTTTTCTATAGAGAAAAAGATTTACATTTGGCTCCATAAAAAGCATTTTATTTGTCACCCATTTACAAGAAGGCTAAATAGAAAAGTTTGATCATGCTGACACATTGCCTGAAGGCATGCAAAAAAACAAGAATTGAAAGAAAATTTAATTCCTTAATTTTTATTTTGAACTATTAAAAAAAGCTTATAAATTCTTGCAGCAGAATCAAGTATTTAAACATGCTTTTTTTCCCTCTGAGGAATTACAAGCTCCTTTCTTGCTATCATCTCTGAATCTTTGCTAGGCTTTGAACACTTTAAGCTTCCAGCACCTTATTTCCAATAAAATTATTACCTCTGCAAGCACAGGCCATACTCAATCACTTGATGTAGGAGCCAATGTTTGAATTTGCTTGAGTATATTCTACACCCAAGAATCCTTCCATACAAAAAAAGCCATATTGATGTTTCATTGCTCAAAGCAAGAACCAATTCTCTGCTACACTGGCTTTTCTTGCTCTTTTATTATAGACAAATGAAATTTGCATTTATTTTTTCTGGATTCTTTTTTCTTTTCTTTTTTTTCAAATTTTATTTCATTTATGCTATTCGGTGTTTTTCCTTGTTTTATCACTTTCATCTCATTTCTTTTATTTTAAAAAAATTATATTCTTCATTTTATGTTGTTTTTTTTAAATTTTATTTCTGTATGAATCTTTTGCTGCTAGAAAAAGTTCAACTGGTAGTGATTAACAAAAAGAATTGTACCTACAAACAATTTAGGCCTTGACTACTTAAACATAAAATGATAATAATTTGTGTTTTCTTTAGTTCTTTGTATGGCACATTAGAACTTAATATGTTTTCTATACTGTACTGACCTGCAAAAATAATCATCTACTCACTAATCAAAGCAATTATCTATATTTCAAACAAAGAGTCATTTAAAAAATTTAAAATTAAAAACAACAATCTTCAAATGCATAAAAATCTGAATGAATTTGAATAAGTCTCTGGAATGAAATCTCAAAATGTTCAGTCAATTTAAGAAAACATGAAAAGGTTTGTTTTTTGTTTTTTTAATGCTAGCAACTTAAATACATTTACTTTTGATTTTTTACCTACAATCCTGACTTATAATTGGAAATATAAGATCAAAGTTTGCATTTCTGAAAGAGATATACAATCAAGAAAAACAATATTGTTGTGAATTTTTGATCTTCAAAATTCTCATGATGATCTTTGATGCTGAATGGCAGGAACAATTTAGATCTCATGCACTTCCAGTTGATAAAACAATTTCTCATAGATGGTAATATACTTAAGAAACACATCCCCTCAAAAGTTTTCCTTGTATATCTTGTAAAATTGTTCTCTCATAAACCAGACACTAAATATAAACCATTCTTCTTTAGTACAGACACAAGTATCAACCATAACATTAATTAAATCTGAGAAAAAGAAAACATAAGAAACTTGAAATATAGATGGTGAACATAAAGCCTGACATTGGCAAATAAAAAAAATTAAGCAACTTTGCTCTTTCTAACAGGCATTTGACACAAAATGGTTGAAAGGTTTTCAATCTCAAATTTTGTTTCATGGTCTTTCTGATCAATTCTGATATCTTAAGATTTTTTTTTTAAATCATTTCCAACATTACATGCCTCCACTGACTTTTAACTGGCAATTGATGTTCTCCAATTGCAGGTGGACAGCAGTTACCCTATGAGGCAATTTTAGAAGTCTGTCTTTGATAAAAGATAATACTATCAACCAGAATATTAATTAAATTTCACAAAAAGCATAAAGAATAAAATTAATAGGAAATATCAAATTTTTTCTAGAACATTTTCTTTTTCTACCAAGTTTACTTTGAAGACATTTCAAAAAGAGCTTTTAGTTATTGCAATTTACGGTAAAATAGAAATAAACCTTGCATTTGAGTTTAAGGTATTTTGTTAAGTTGATTAGCACATCTTGAAAATTATAAAATTTTCTAACCAAATTAATAATTTACAAATAAAATCAGTTTGTTCAATTGATTTTAATCTTGTGTGATGAAAAGTTTGAAATCATTTAAGATTACAGCCCAAAACCTAAAAAGTGAATCTATTTTTCAATCTGCCTCTAAAGGACTTAATATCTTATTATCTTAAATAGTTTTAATAACAACTTAATCACATGTATGTGTGTCTGATGACCTTGTGGTCATTAACATCAGCTCTTTGCAGCTTCCCTATTATCATTGCATGTTATATCAAAACATGTATCGCTCCAATTCACTACTGCTTCTTTATGATTTTTTATTTTTTGTACATCTTTTTTTTTCTTTTTCTTTTGTGCATGGCTAATTCTATTTAGTTACACATTATCTTCATCATCATTCTAATCCTTCTTTTATTTCTTATTGATTTTATTTCATTCTTTTTATTATTTTGAGTTTTAATTTCCTTTTCTGTTTTGTTTTCTCATTTCTTTTCCCCAATTATTTCTTGTTTTGAACTCTCTTCTCTCCCTCCTTTAAATCTTTTGTCACCTTTTTCTTTCCCCACCTTCCCCATTTCCCTTTGATGAAGTAACTTTTGGCTGACAGCCATATCACCATGTCCATTACTATGAAGATGCAAGATGAAGATTGGTAGTCTCCTATTATTTGTCATTTATAGAATCTTACATGTCTTTTAAAATTAGTTGAATACCTATCTAGGGCTATAATATTCAATAGATTAAGAAAAGTTCAAGTGACTTATCTTCATAGCCAACTCTTGAGTCAACTATCCAGACAATTTAATTTATTGAATATATATATCTAAGTATGGTTTTCAGGCACTTTCCAAAGTCCCTGACAAATCAACCATGGTCAGATTCCAGCCTGGATGTCATGACCAGAAAGCAAACATTTTAATCACAAGACTCTGTGTGTGTGTGTATATATATATATATATATATATATATATATATATATATATATATATATATATATATATTTATATATATATTTTTTTGAAATTAGTATTTCTCATTATATATATATATACATACATATATATATATATATATATATATATATTTAGTATGTGAATGGCTGTAATTTAATATCAAATATACTAACTTCAGTGGCATACCTAGAAAGGCTACATTGTGACCCTATCCACTTCACACAAGAATTTGTTATAGCCTACTCTTGGTGAGTGCCATCTTTAGTACATGAAGAAAATTTTTGCCTTTAATGCTTCAACATCAAGGCAAGCATTCCACATTTTGTTGAAGCACTTCAACTTCTTTATGTTGTTAAGGTTTCATCCAGTCTCTTCCTCAAGTATAAAGATTTTTCCTTTTGAAAACTGAAAAATGATGGTCCTTAATATACCAATCATATTTGTCCATTTCAACTGCATATAGTAAATAAATGTAACTTTTCACCACCCATGTACTGCAGTGATTCCAAACTATATTTGATGAGTCCTCAACACCTTCCTTGCCAAGCAAAGAAAATCACTTTTAAAATCCATGCTAGCTTTTTCAACTTCCTAACTCTCTAACTCCCTGTCAATATCTGGGCTTCATTTGAACAAAATTTGTAATGTTAATGACTCTTCTCAAAGTTTATAGGCTATACAGACAGAATAGAGCTATTATATTTTATATAATTATAAGAAAATGTAATTATTATATAATCCTCTAACATATTTTATCATAATTGTTATATTACAAAAATGTTAATCTTCCTCTCTAGATGTTTGATGTGTTTTTTACTTTTGCCATCCTGAGCAATGAATTCAAACATTGCCTTAATAACCGACTATGGTGATGATTTTTTTTCTTTTTCTGTCAGCCAAAAGTTAATATTAAAAGTCCTGACTTTTATCATTAATGAACAATATTTAATACTATATTTAATACTATTTTGCATTTTTCTAGCAGAAAGCTGACACATCAACCAAAAAGGAGATTACGGTCCTTGATCCAAAGAGATCTAATGCCATTAACATTGGTCTCAAGGTGCTACCCCCTCCACGAACAATAAAAGCAGCTATTCTTAAGATGGACAGTTCAGTCATGAACAAGGAGGGAATAGAGGTGAATTCCTACTTTATATAATCTTCAATACTACAGATTTCTTTATTTAATGATTTTGTTTTCAAGCTATTTTTCTTTTCTATATTGCTACATCTTTCTTATTGGTTTTGAATGGCCAGCTGCTAGTTTACTTCACTGTAGGAAAACAAAGATATGATTTACAACATTGATAGACTTATGTCCATATCACATTGAAACATTGGTTCTCGTATGACCACTGAAGTTAAGCAAGATCATCTGGTCATTATCTAGATGGGTGTCCACTTTGGAATACAAGTTGTAAGCTTGGATTCCAATTGGCTTTGTTTTCACTTACAAATGCAAATACTCTTGAAAAAGGTATAATTCCACATCTTGTCCCCTCTGCTATGGGTTAATTAGTAGTACTTGTACCATTAATCATTACTCAAAAAAAACAAAAAAATCCTTACAATCTAAAAATATTTTCTGGCTTTAAATAACCTGCAAAAAATAAATCAATCAATGAACAACTTTGATATTATGTTCATATGAAATCTGTTACCAATTGTCAATCTGGTAACAACAGTTGTAAACTTTGTTTTAGTTTAACGAAAGTGCTGCAAATCATTTGATCCTGCAAAAATATTCTTTTAGGATATCCTCATAATCTTTATTAATATTCTGCTTGTTCGTAACTCCATTTTGCTTTTCTAGGACCAGTGTGTTGTATCTATCAGATCTGAAACTCTTTAGCTTGAATCAATTATGCTTCCTGATCGAGAAAGCTGCATAATAATATTAGGCATTGAGGAGGGAGGGGCGTTAAGCAAGGAAGAATCGGAAGAAGTAACAATAAGAATTAAGAAAGTTAAAGAAAAAGAAATTAAGAATTCTTTATGAAGAGATAGCATAAAATAAAAGAGAATGCAATATATTCTTTATTCAACACCTATGGAATTTCCACAACTGCAATTAGTTAAATAAAATCAGCATTTTATTAAGTTCTGTGAGAAGATTAATCTCTTCACAAAACTTGACTTTGCTTTGGTGACATAATGATACCAGTAAAGCAACAAAGGATGCTACAACCAAATTGATTTAAATGTTATTGAGTTGGAAAAGCTATAAACATAAGCTAAAACTCACATATAAATATATGTGTGACTTTTACAAGAGACACTGCCACAAGAAATAATCATTGCTTCTTTTTTAAAAATTGTTTTGCATATTACTATAAATTAAGCACTACAGAGCATAAATATGAAAAAAAAATTTTATTCAATTTTATAAAAATTAATAAAGGATCTAGTTTGCCATGTAAATTCATTGTTAATTGATCCCTCAATGCAAAATAAATATGCTCATAAGATATTCTTAAAATGTAAAAATATAAAAATGATTTTTGAAATTCATAATCTGGTGCTTTATCAATAATGATATATGAAAAAAAATATCCAGATTAGGAATTTCAAAAAATATTTTTATTGTTTTACATTTTAACAAATCACAGGACCTCTTGTACAACTCACCAAATATTTTGTATTAAGTTTTACTCTGATAAAATGAATGTATAAAACATCTTGTCAAAAAATGCTGCAAACTTTTGCACCAATTTATATTGAAGATTGTTACTAAATTTGTCTAAACTATTTGCTTTCAGAAAATTTTGTATACAATGATTCCAGCAGAGGAAGAGAAGACCCAAATTTTAGATGCGCAAATGATGTATCCTGACACACCCTTAGGGACTGCTGAGCAGTTCCTGCTTATTTTGTCATCAATTAGTGAGCTGCAGGCACGGCTTCGTTTATGGTTGTTCAAATTAGACTATGAAACATTAGAACAGGTAAGTAATATTTCATATTCTTTACTTTTGGAAAAGATTCAAAAGGATAATGATTTATTTTTGTCAGTAAAGATGATCTAGTTATCATTTTCTTTAGGAAAAAAGCCTCTAAATATTAAAATAATACAAAGGAAGCTTCAATTTTATTCCTAATCACAGAAAATGTTTTCAAAATCTATCATCCCAAAAACTTATAACAATGAATGTAAATTGTTCTATTTTTCTAAGCTTTGCTTAATGTTATTAGTCTGTTATTGTAATCTAAAAGAACCTGTTGTCCCAAAGTGGTCACAGTAAGTTAGCTCTGTACCTTCTGTTTTCTTTCTACCAATAAGTGATGATAAACAGATGCTCTTGTTTTCTTTATTCTCAATCCAAAAGTAACTAGCACTTTGTGATGTTATATGCATTTCAATTCAGGCTACTACACTCATCTTGGTTGCTCTGCTCATAACAGTTCAACCATGCTATCCCCTGGCCACCTTCAGGTTTCTCTCATACTCCATAAGTTTCTCAGAAATTTTAGTCAAATCACTCCACATGGTAGACTGTTCTTTTCTTATTTTCCATACATAGAGGATATCTTGTATCAGTTATTCTATCTAGTCTGTTTACCTTTGTGTCCTTTGTCCATTTTTTCTACTGAACCAGAGTACATGAGTATTCCACGCCATCCAACACAGGAATTAACTCTTAATTGCCAGGAAACCAAATATGCTTTAAATTGACTAAGCCATGTGTCTTGTGGACAATTCAATAGTTATTTCAGAGCCTTAAACATAATGATGGTGAAATTCAGTTTCTTAATCACAGACTCTCAGAATTGTATTTCTCTCTATGCTTCATCTGCTGATTCTTTCAGTGATTTTGATTCTCTGGTGATTTTCTTTATAATCTTGACTTCATCCCACATAGATTTCAGATTAAAAAATGATACCACTGTATTGTGCAAGATTGACAAAACCTCATTATTTAAAGTATTGGTTAAAGTATATGTGGTTCATGCAGAAAAGACATATTCCCTGCTTCAGTAAGTGTGACAGAGGTGCGATGAAATGCTTGCAATCCTAAGTAAGATACCAAGAATATTAGAGTTATATGGTATGAAGTCTTGATTATTATGTAGTGTGAGGAAATGTGGTATAAATAAAATGATATATTCCTAACCTAAACGAATGGCTCTAGATATTTAAAGAAGGAATTGATGCAACAGTTATGCCAATTGTATGTTGTTTCTCTTTCAGGAAATTGCAGAACCTCTGATGGATCTGAAGAAAGGAATTGAAGAATTACTGGTCAATAAAACATTCAAGTATATTTTGTCTGCTGTGCTAGCAATTGGAAGCTTTTTGAATGGAACACAGGTGAGAAAAGAAAGGATTTCTTTAGTAATGTTTTTTGCCTTTACAAACATTTTAAAGGACATGGTTAATGGAAAAATGCCCTGTATATGCCTATCTTATAAAAAATATTGGTCAAGTTAAGATTTTTAGTTTTAGATTTTTTTTTTTTTCTGATAAATAATTAAAAGTCCATCACTAAATTTTAGTGGCTGTTCATCATTATATGAGTAATTGTTTACAGTCTTACATAGTACCCATAAAAAATGACAGTGCCTGTGCTTTCTGCCAATGCACTATATGGCATTTTGTATGGATACACTGCATGTTTTATATATGTAGATTCCATTCATTTAATATCTCTAATTTGTTTCTGACAATTTAACAGTTGGTTAGGGTTCAGTCATGGAACAAATATGAAAGCTTCAGACCATCTTTCACACTCCTTATTTACAAGTGTGGGAATGAAGGTAAAAAAACAATTAAGATTAAAAGAATTTGGAATTTCATAATGTAACAGGCTTGATGAGGCTTGTTACTCCATTTTCTATTTAAACAAATAAAATAAATGTCACTTGGGACAAAAAATAAATGTACACTCCAAAATAAGGTGATCAGTTCCTAATGCATAATTATGAAGCCAAAAAATATTATAAAGGGATATTTTTTTTTTTTTTTTATTGATTAAACTCATTTCTGGAGATGAGATGAATATATCCTACCATAAACAAAACTAAAAATGTATTTGTCATTTTTAATTAGCTTATTTTTCATGTTGCTTTTTAATCACAACCTGCAGATCATCATTCTCAATTTATATGAGAAATCGAAAATAAGACTTGAAGGAATGTCTTTTTTGTTACGTTTGAATGCCTGCAGCCCAAACATCTTCCTGGCCATAACCAGTATGGCAGCTATCATGCTTAAACAGCTTCCCAAAGAAAAGAGATAACAAACTTAAATTTCACTGCAGGTTTTTTTTTGTTTTTTTTTTTCCAAAAACAGTTTAAGAATGGCAATAAAAATGACTAAAATGAAGATTGAAAAAATACTCTTAGAAATATAAAGTTGCATTTTAGACTGACATTTATTTTATATACATATTTAAATGACAGCAATAAAATATTTTTCTTCTAAATAACATTCTCAAATCTCCTAATAGAAAGTTATGCAATGATAAATGAATTTTCAGCTTTCTAATATTTTGTTTGATTTGTTTCAGGTCCAAGGTTTTACCTTTGACTATTTAGCCAAAGTCCCAGAAGTAAAGGACACTGTCCACAAACACTCACTGCTGCATCATTTATGTACAATCATCATTGAACAGTTCTCTGATGCTACTGACCTCTACTCTGAAATTGGAGCCATAAACCGGTGTGCAAAGGTAGGATCAATCAAAGATTCTCTAGCTGTCACTAAGTTATATAAAGTAGTGTGTGTGTTTGTAAACACATCTTTAGTGAATCATAAATAGAAGAAAATATCATGTGCCAAATTTTAACATTTCTTATTGCACTTTCAGATGTATCAAGAACATTAACAATAATTCAGACATAACAAAGTGCTATGTGTTCAAGATCAGGAATGAGCTTGTTACTTGTGTGGGAGAAGGGGTGCTTCTCATCCATGGCCAAGAGAAAGAAACTTTCTAAACAGTCAGGCATCATGAAGAGTCAGAATTTGTCTAGAACATCAACCTCAATGGCGTGTGTCATTGTCACTGACTATATCAGAGTGCTGGATACAGTAATCAAGTTTTGGATCAGGGGAGTGCTATATTTCTTCCAGCAGAATTCTGCTCCCTCCCTGATAGCTCAGGCGTGGTTGGCTGAGAATTTTCATAATCATATGACCCCAATACGTGGATTTCTATCTCTCCTGATTTGAATTCCTTGGATTATCACATCTGGAATGTCATTAAGAGGGAACTCAACCAATGTCCCCACAATACCAAGAACTCATTGGAGGCCACTATCATGGAGATGATGACCAACATTAACATGATCCAACTGAGCCAAGCATGCAATTACTTCTGATGCCTCATTGGAGCCGTCCTCATGATTGAGGGCAGTTTTAAAATTATGAAACACACAGTGCATGTTATATTTGATGATGGGCTCTCCCGTCATTTTCCAACAGATGACGGTTCAACTGCATGTTCCACCCTTAAAGTCTTCAATGACTTTTAAGGCCAACTTGAGACCCACACAACATCCCACATACAGGACAAGGCTGAAGGAATGTTAGAGTGGTGTTCGGTGTTCTAATACATAAATGTTTGATGCATGATCTCTCAAAAGTTGTAATACATTTTATGTTCCCTCACATACACAACATTATATAATCAGAAGCCACTTCTTCAGATGATAACAGAGGGATGTTAATACAATTTAGGTTTTGTTTAAGTTTATACTTATACTTTAACAGGTGTCTACCCACTTTATGAGAACCATTGTGCAGTTGGCTCTGTGTGAAGATTTTCAGTGTCCTTTCATCATTCATGCACACAACATGAACAGCCCAATGAAATTACAAATGCATTTTATATATAATATATATGCACAGAGAGACAGTGACATAACCTAATCTAAGGTACATGCCCAGGGTGGCACTGAGCAGATTCTAATAAAGTTAGACATGGAGGAATCCTCAAATAGTGAAAAAAAAGAATTTTCTTCAGCTGTATGATCTTTCTCTGATTATTATGAGAAAACAAGATGGCCAGATTGTTAAACCACTTAGATAAATCCTTGTCCAAATAAATATTTTTCATTTTTTTTTAATGTCCTTTATATATCACTTTTGTTTTTCTACCAAATCAAGATATAAAACCTTCACTGCCTAAACTAGGGATTGAACTCACAGACCACTAGTAACTTTATTTACCTAACTACTGCTTTTTATGTATGAGGCCATTGTCCAGTTGGTCATTCAGACAATGGAGGATCCAACAGCCAAAACTTTGTGTCTATAACAACCAAGAAGAAAACAACAGTTTGAATAAATTAATGTATAATGAAAACTTTTGTCTAAATTTCTCATATAAAAAAGGGATTTTTTTTCTTTTATTAGTAGGTTTTATTTTTTATTATTTATTTCTATAGCTTACCATTTTATATATTTTATTGTAAAAGAAAAAATTCTTTGTTTTTCAGATTGACTGGGAAGAACTGGCTGATAAATTGGAAAGAATGGAATGGGACTGCAAAAATTCTTGGGAACACCTAAAAGCAGTTGTTAAGCATGATGGCAACTCTGTACTTAAGACCAAGTGAGTTGGCTTTTTACATTGCAATAGAAATTCAGATGATGATAAATTGAATTTTGAATCCAGAGCTAAAATTATTTTCTTTTTTCTTTTAATTCACTACATAAGAGAGCAGTAAATGCAGCTCAATTATGGCTGGATTCTTTTGTTCTTTGCTAGCCAACTTTTAAACTTATTGAATTTTCACATTTATTTTCTCTCAGTGTGTATGTTGAAAGGTTCTTGGCCTAAGAAGGAATTCAAAAAAGAATCTAATGTTTAGGGAAGTGGGTCACACACCATTCTATGTATCTACACAGTCATCTATTTTTATCCAGCTGCCTGGAAAACCCTTTGATAATAAAATATTGGAAAAAATCCATACCATCTCTACTTTCAAAAACATTCTGTTCATCTGAATTCTTAGCCATGTAGGAATTAAGGACAATGATAGAGCAGACAAAAGTACTAAACAGACATTAAGACAAGTTCCTGAAAATTACCAAATCCCATATACTGACCTAAAACCATTAATTAAGAAACACATGAAAAATCAATGGCAAGCACAATGAAGCAGAAAAATTTAAAATAAACAAAATACAATCTTACCAACCCTCATGAATTCTATCATTATGGAAAATCCCAAAGGGAAAAGGTTAATATAACACTACTACAAATAGATCACTCTAAAATTACACATTCTTTCTAACCTAAACAAGAACTACCACTACCAAAAATATTCAAAAATATTAAAATAAATAGAATTATAATATTCCTGAAATTAGTTGGATTATATCAGAAAATATAAATATATAAAAAAAAAAAAACAAAGATTTTCCATTTTCCTTAAATATAAACCAAAATCGGTTTTGTCATAAAATGACTCTACAGAGGAGATGCCATTAAAAATGCACTGAAACTTATCCAACTGTCTAATTCTTCTCTTATTCAATAAACTCTATCTTTGTACCCAATGGAATTGCAGTTCTTCACAAATATGTACAAGACACTGGTAGATATCTATGTGTTTGCATGTTTGCCGATATGTGTATGTATTCACCAGGTTGTTTTAAGTATGTGCTTCAGTTGTTTTCATTCTACAAAATATTCTTTTTCAGAATGTATGAATTCCTGAAAGATGCTGCTGAGAGGATCATGATCCTAAAAATCATTCACCGAAGAATCCTTACCAGGTAGACTTCCAGTTTTAGCCTTTACTTGACTCTAATCTGTCTTCTCATATTAAATATACAATGGTTTGCATCACAAAAGAATGAATTATTCCTATCATATTATTGAAGATATGCATTTACTATGTCTGTGTCTTGGATGATACATCAATGTGGAAACAAAATACAATCCCTATTGAAGCTATATCCATCTTACAATCAGTGGCAGTTATTAGAAGAAAAGTATGAGAATCCTAAAAATGTTAGAAATGAAAATGTAACCTATGTTGACCTTAAAACAGATTCCAACTTTGCTACAATCAAATACATTGATACCATTATATGTTGAATGTCCAACTACTGCAGCTGATTAAAAACAGGAAATAATTATTGAGTACAAAACCATGGCCACCAAATCTCTTTTATTTATGTAATGATTTGTGAGTCAAAGAATTATCCTGAATGTTTGGACATGCAATAAAGTTCTTGGTCCAACCAAAAAGCCCTTCCAATTCTGATGTTTACTCATTTCATCGGATAGGTTGGGCTGGAAACTTTTCAGCATCCCCTTGTGTTCAATCATTATAATTTGCAGTTAAACCTGTTTAATCCCTGTTTAAGTTTTTATGTAAGCAAAGATTCTGAATTTAGCTTTGATGAAAATTTACTTTGTCACAAATATGCTATTTTTGAATGCCCAAAAAGGCTTTCAAGTAGTGTAAATATTATATCTATCAATGTTGATCTCAAAAATAGTTCTTTTTAAGGTGCAACCAGTCACCGAAAATGCCCCAATTTTTAACCTATTCAAATTTAACCATATAGTGCAACTCCTATTTTTTTTTGTGTAAAAAAAAAAAAAAAACTGATCATAAAAATTTTCACTATACTCAAGTAAATATGGTACATTCAGAAAATATTTTCTTTCATGAAAATTTTACCAGAAATGTTTCCTTTTGTGGGGTGAAGGTAAGGAAATGACTAAAACATAATAAATATAATATCAGCCATTGAAGACTGCTTTGTGAAGGGTTTACTTGCCAACAGTCTTGGCTGTCATCTCTCTATGAAATTCTTCGGCTAAAATCTTCACTTCTGATCCCTTGACAATTAACCTCATTTATACCCAGAATTCCACAACCACTACACCTAACTTTGTCTTTTATGGAAAATTTTTCCATTTTTAACCAGATATTTTCTGATTAGCTTTTTCCCCAGAATCTGGCAGATAATATCTCACTGGCCAGTGCCATGTTAAAAGATGATAAAATAAGAACAAAGTCAAGTGTCAGATTCCATCTAAAAATCTTTACTGATCTATTTCAATGTCTTGTTGTTGTAACAAACTTCTTTCAAGCTTTCTTTTTGAGATGTTGGGTGATTGTCAACCTGATATTTTGTGTATAACATGAGAGAAATGTGAAACACATGAAATCTTTTCAATTTTTATATTTTTAAACATGGAATTATTTTATATTGTTATTATAGCTAAGCCTGTATGTATATCAACATATAAGTTGTGTATATGTGGGACACTCTTGTTTTTAGTTGTATTTTTAATTTTTTTACATTTTTTTATTTTTATTTAAAAAGTAAAAAGATAATAGCTCCCACCAAACTTCACTATTGCTTTATGTATTTCCAGATATCAAAAGTTATTACTTTATATGGGTCTTCCTGTGAATATAGCCAAAGAACAGAAAATTTCTCAGTTCTGTAAGGTGATCAGTGAATTTGCTTTAGAGTATCGAACAACCCGAGACAAGGTCATGCAACAACTCCAGAAGAAACAAAACCAGAGAGAGCGCAAGAAGACACGAGGGAAAATGATTTTGGGGGTGAGTTTGGGTTTTTTTTCTTTTTCTTTGCCTTACCATTTCAAAAGCATTCTCCACTTTTCCATTTTTACTTTCTGCTTTCATTTATTATAAAAATCACTTTAAACTGAGACTTTCTCCTTGTCTACCCAGTTGAATTGAGGTAACTTTTTGCATTTGCAGACTGAGAAATTTTCCCCCAAAGCCAAAGACAATACCACTGATGATGCTCTGCAAAAATTATTGGCAAATGGTTACACAAGTGCAGATGAACGAGGTTTGCCTGGTCAGCTGATGAGAAAAAAAGTTGGTAAGTTACTCCAAGACAAACAATATTGAATGAGAAAAAAAACCTATTGATTAATAAGTGCCACTTAACCATATTTGATGGCATATAATGACCCCATCTAATTATTTACATTTAATATTACAGTAATATGGTGTTAGTGTAAATAAGTATTGGTAGTTCAAAGTAATTGGATAAACATTAGTCAGCCAGATACTTCAACTCCACATATAATGCCTGGGAGATATCTTTGTCATTTCTGTTTGGGGTGGGGAGGTCTTTGTTATGTGCTATCCAATATGGTAATCTGTATAAGAACTAATGAAGAATTCTTTCAAAGAATTTATTTCAAAATGCCATTTCCAAAATCTGATTAATCTAAAAACCTTGTCCATCAAATTTAAAAAAGAGGCTGATATTAATTTCTCTAAAAATATGCTTTCTGGTAATGAAGATCTGATTATCATTTTTTTTTATTTAAGCACCATGGTTCATTTCATAATTGATATGGGGTTTAATTTAAATAAGTAGACATGAATTTGTTTCCCTATATCTCAGGAGGCTGAGTATCACAGATGAAATTTTTAGTGAAAGATTTAATTCCCCCTCCCCTTATGTACTGTCAATGTCATTGTATAACATCAGTAAAATATTTCCAGAATGAAAGAATTTTTTTTGTGAAATAATTCATTAGCCAGTTTGAAGTGGTGAAATGGAAACCAAAACTGCTTCTCACCACCATCTTGACTATTTAACAATAGTTCCTTTTTTTTTTTTTTTTTTTTTTTTTTTCGTTTTTTAATTGAGCAAAAACCTTTTTTAAATGGGTCTCTTTATTCTGTAGAAAATGACTGCATTTTGTTTTTCTCTTATCAGGACGGGGCTGCATGACAACAGATTCTGAAATGTGTGATACTGGTGATGATGAAATACTTGAAGCCTGTGTACGAACAGCTGCTGCACCTTTAAAAAGGCCCCCAAAAGACAGAAAACGGTCACGAGCTGGGCCTCGAAAATCACGTAAGTTTTTTTTTTTTTTTTTTTTTCTCCAGCATATTTTTAAAAGGTTCAAATATCTACATTCTCTCACTTTTGGGACCCAAATATTGTATTTGAAGTTGTTGGGACTGAAAGTTCTGCAGAGATTTTGTTCTTCCTTGATGAATCAGTGTTGATCCCTTAAAATCCAATTCTTTCAGTCTTTACCAATCTTGATAAATATATGCAGAACTTCAATAATCACTATTTTCAATAACTCAAAAGTTAAACTTTTATCTTGGCACATTTATAGCATATTGATAATTACATTTTGTCAAGATTTCTTAGAATGGTACAGAGTGTAGGGAGAGGAGAATTTATGCCTTTCTCAAGGTCATTATGGAAAAATGTACACAAGCAGCCTCAACTGAATTTTTTTTGCTGTGCTGGTAACCATGACCTATGAGAAGAGAATGAAGGTGTGAGTATATCATGCTAGGAATTGGTTCCAAAGAGGGTTTGGATACTTTCGGAGATCTTTAAAAAATGTTTACATAAATTTAAGAGTAGCAATTGCATTTCGCGTGAGTTTGTCTGTCTCTCTCTCTCTCTCTCCCTATATATATATATATATATATATATATATATATATAGTAGAAATTTTGATTCTTTCATTATATTACATATTGTTGGGTGACTAATTGTGAAGTGAATGGAGCAGGAAAGAAATTTTGTACTTGATAAAATTCTTCTCAGAGACCCTGTTAGTAAGTTACATCTTAAAAATTTGGAACTAATCAATACCAAATCAAGTTTTTATTTTTAAAAAGCACCAGATCGATTAGTTACAAGGTCTTTAGGGGTAACTTTTGATTGAAATGATTGAATATTTGGAATGCTTTAGATGTTGTTCATTAAAAACAATAAAGTATTTTCCAGTTTATAAATTACACTTAAAATACGAAACACAGACAACAACTAGATTGCATCCAGTATGTTTGTATTATATATAAGACTGAAGACTTTATCACTGAAGTTTTGAAATGAGTTGTGATTACCAAATTTTCTCATGAAATCCTGCCTTTCTCAAACACACTAGCATTAAACAAACATAAGAAGCCTCAGCCAACATTGAAACTCAGTTTGCCAATTTCAAGCACAAGGAAAAGTGGATTCATGCTTTCCCTAATAACAAAGGAAGCCTCAAATTCAATTTGTTCATTTGATTTTCTTTTTCCCTTACATCAATACTTCATGCCCAATTAATCTTTTCCATCAAACCCGAATGTGATGATGCAGTTCCTCACTTAAACTTTTTATCTGTTATTTTATTTGAGATGTATACAATATCTAAGTTATCAGTTAGGGTAACTAATGTACATGGCCTTAAAGGAGGCTGTATAAAAACAAAGCCCTATTTTTCAAGACTATTTGGAACACCATCAAGGCCCTGATTACTATCAAACGTATTTTCAACACCTATGTTGACTGTCCATACATATGTAATATTTTCTAATATTTCTCTAGAAACTCTAATGATTAACTTGTTTCCTTTTTTCAGGATGTTTTTGTATGTATCGAGATATGTATATTTCCATTTACTACCTTTGATACAAAAAGACATTCGTCTTCCACCCAATCTTTGTAGCTTTGGGTTTCTTCTTTGCAAATGCACTTATACACATTTTTTCCTACATGTGTTAAATTCCTCTTTATATAAATATGCAAGGACTTGTTTAGGAGATTTCTACACTCTTTTGCACATTTTGTAGATCAATTTAACATTTGTCTGCTAGATGTCCTCCTCTTGCACTAGTTTTTCAGCACTCAAATATACAGATACAGAAGAGTTTTTCTATCATGTTTGCAGTCTCATTTGATTTTAAAAGAATTTTTAATCAAGTGATATTTTTCAAAGAATTCTTTATAATCGCTTCAGTAATTAAGATGTGATTCACATAAAGTAGTCAGATATATTTTGCAACTAAACAATTGTGTGTCTTCATTTTCAGTAAGATAGAAAGGTTAGTGTTGTACATCTTGATTGATGAGTACAACTTGTTTGATTTGGTTACCTTTATTGCTGTTTGAAAATTCTATATCTGTAGATTATTGAAAGGTTGCAATTGGAAATTTTATTACATTTTTGGTTTCCTTTCTTTAAAATTTGAGTTACTTTCATATTGTTAAATAACTTTTCTTTTTTTTTTTCTTTAATGGAAAATGAATTTTATGAGTTTCTCATTATATATGTGAGCTTTAAATACTAAATGATTTATGTGATTAAATATGTTAAAGTGTCAATTCTTTTCACAATAAATTTTCCCATATCCAATGATACCAAAAATCTGTTTTTTATGTCAACATGTCTTCATTATCCCGTCTTTATATGTTGTTTCTCTCTGATTCAATTATTAATCTGGTTACTATTGAAACTTTTCAGACCCCTGGGACAGTGATTTCTAGGTAATGTGTTGTCTGTGGTAACCATGCAAACTGTTTGGTGTTGAATGCTGGTTATGTTAATGTTTGTTGACCATGCTCAGTATGGTTGGTCTGTATGGTTGGTCAGCACCTGATTATTGATGGCTGTAACACCCAAATAACAGACAGATTCATTTGTCTGTCTGACTCTTTATCTGCCTGCCTGCCTGCTTGCCATTCAGATATTTCCAGATGCAAATATTGTCTGCTAATGTTATTGCTTCACACTAACTTTGGATTTTTTTTTTTAGCCAAAGGTGATCAGGAAAATAAAATATGGCTTTCCTTTCAAGAACAAATGTCTCAATTAAATTTGGTAAAATTGCTTTAATCAAACCAATATCCTGTACCTTAAACTTAAGGATCTTTAATTGAATAAGTAACAATCTGATAATTTAAATTTAATATTTAATCATTTGGTTTAACAATTACCTGTTATTCTTATTCTTATTATTATTATTAAAAACCTTCCACTCTGGAAGAGAGCCATGTTTTTCATAACTCTTCACCTTTATTTATTTTGCATATTTTTTTCTAAGAAAAAATTCAATTATTCATGAACCTGATCATTTACTCGGCTACATATTCTCATGTTTAACCTTCATATTATCTCCATTCTTCTTCCCTTAGACACAGATCTCAACTTTTTTTTTCAACCTCAGTGTTTCTCTGTGCTCTCAGAGTAATCATCCTTTGTGACTGTTTTCCATTTTGAATTCACTTCATTATTTTAAGTTCCATCATTATTCAACAGATTTTCAAATTTTACAAACCTAAATCTTGAAGTAAAATTTATTTTTGCTTATTTTTTTTAAAATTTGACCATTTGATAAAAAGCACTTGTTCTGATTTGAAATGGAATTTTAATCTTCTTGCTTAATATACAACTTTGCACTTCACTCTGTATAAGGCACTTGGAAAATAATCAAACCAATAGATTACCAATGTACCATTATAATCATTAGACCTCAAATAACTGATGGAATGTATGCACTTAAGTTCAGTGTTTTAACAGATGATGGAAAGTACAACACTGAAATCGAAAAGCACATTGGATAGGCAATGATGCTTTCCAAAAGCTAAGCAGAGTATTAAGAAACAGAATTTCATTAAAAATAAAGTAAAGAGTATTGAACTGTTACATGATATCTGTCCCCCTATATGGCACTGGATGCTCTTCAATCTCCTCAGAGATGAAGAAGATACTTGAAGCAACGGAAATATGGTTCCACAAAAGGATGCTGAGGATACCATGAATTGAACATGTGAGCAGTGAAGTCTTAGAGAAAATGGAAACAAAAAGGAAACTTATGCTTAACATCAGGAAGAGACAGTTGTGGTTTCTAGAGCACATAATGAGGAATGAACGCTTGGAAAATCTGATGCTCACAGGATAGATTGAAGGCAAGAGGGACAGGAAACAATGCACAATATACTTGAGTAAATGGATGGTGGAACAAGGTTGAAGAGAAATGACAAAAAGACAATTTATTAATAGCTACAAAGTTCAGGATATTGTGGAAAGCCATGATCACCTTACATCCTGAAGAGATACGGCATATAAACAAGATGACCGTCAGGAACTATCCACTCTAGAACCTTGTTTGCAAAGTCGAACTAATTTCAAAATATTATTTACTAAATTTAGATGGAATCTGATCTCTTTACCCACCTGACCCCTCAATTTAGTGCTCTCTACTCACTGGATTTAAGCAACTTTTTGCCTGTTCTTTACTAGATAGATTCAGATAGCCAAGTATTAGGAGCAAAAACCTGAAAAAAGGCATTGGCAAAATATTCTTTTCAGGTAAATGGCTTTGCTTAAAATTAAAATATTTTACAGCTTGCCAAAATGATTGCTAAGATTCTTATAAGTCCAGTTTTCTTAATGTGGCTATTTATAAAACTAGATATCAAACTACAAGATCGAGTCTTAACTCTCTTTAACTTCAAGACATAGGTGATCATGACTCTCTACTGCTTCCTTTTCTTTAATATCTGTAAATTGTGCAATTCCATGTTCTTGAAAATCCTCTTGACTACAAAAATATAAATTCTGACTATTGTTCAGATTATGGTTTCGTTGTCATTTTTGTCACAGCCGTAATTATAATGATTAGTTTTCTATCCAGAGATCTCGTTAAATATTGATATAAAGAATTAATAAATAAAATAAAATGAAAACTATCTAAAAAGAGATCAGAACAAAGTATTTTGTCAACAGAAGAGGGATTTTATTGCATGGTGTGTTGTGTGCCATAACTGTTAGCTCATTTCTCCTTAGGTGTCACAAAGAGCAAAAAGAATTTGTGTTAAATGAATGTTTGCTGAGGGTGGGGGTTGATGAATTTGCTACCAGGAAAAATTTTCTCAGTGAATGAGTGAATTTGTTTGGGATAATTTTCAGTGAAATTTTTGTAATAAACTATTTGATTGTTAAAATCTCAAGATAAAACTTTAAGCTTAGAACATCAAAATCTGAAGTTTAAAATGTTAAGTTCTCCCTGAATATTTAATGATTATTCAGCTGCTCATTATCAACTATTAGTCAATTGGTAAAGAGTATAAAATAAATTTGCTAGGATAAAATTCTTTGTAAATTTCAAAGTGTAAATCAGACATACATCATACTCCATGTATTTGCTGCTGGCAATTTTTGTTTTAAAAATATTATCACTTTTCTTTAAAAAAAAAAAATAATTAACCAAAAGTGTAATATATATATATATATATATATATATATATATATATATATATATATATATATATATATATATATATTGGAGGAAGGTGGAGGAATATTTAAGTATATATATAATAGTTAAAGTATTGAAATATAGTAGATAAAGATTTTGTTTATATTAAAAATATGTATAGCACATGTTTTATGGCTCTAAAATGTTCCAAATGCCTCATCTGTTATTTAGCATATAGCAGTTTATTTACATATATGAAAATTTGCTTTGTGTGCAGGAGTTAGTGCATATCAATTTCCTGATTTTAACTAATTTCAACATTAAATAATTCTCTTAAGCAAACTCACTTGTTGGCAGTTATTAATTATTGTAAATAAACAACAATGACATTAAGTATAACTTTTAAACAATACCTGATTAAAGAAAAGAGCATTCAGATATAAGTGTTATTTTCTTTTATTTTTCTACATTAAAACTTTTCAATAAAATGGGCCATTCAACAAAGTTACTGACAAGAGTCACAATGATTTTCATCAGCACTATGAACATTGTATTAAAAAAAGACATGATTATTTCAATTAATATCATTATGTCCTGAACCTTTTTTAAAAGATCACATTAAAAACTAAAACTAAAAAACACTATCATTTGGGAATATAATTAAATATTACCTGTTTTGATAAAAAGCAAAAAAATCTTGATGCATCTTTCCTGGTGGTGATTATTCTCTAGCTGCTAATAAGACAATATTGCAAATATCATCCTTTCTATAGATGCTTTAAAGAAATACAAATCTGGTTATATGTTGATTACTTTGGACAAACAATTTATTCAATTTCTCATGTTTATGACTAGTTTTGTTCTTTAACTTCCTATTACATGTGTGCAATAATAAAGCTTCAATCTTTTTCATTTTTGTAATGATTTACCTGACCTAAATATAGGAAGAAGAAATAATGCTCCCAATCTTGTTTTATAGGGTTTTTTAGGCAGGGATGAACAAGTATGTCCTGCTACTAGAATAAAGAAGAAAATTACTTCAAGTTGTTTTTCTCTGATCACATCAACTTGCTTCCTTCAATGTATAAAATATGACATTTTTAGATCATAAAATATAAAGTCTTATTTGAACAGTTCTGCTCAAATTAACAAAAATTGTTTGTAAAATTTATTTTTTGTTTCTGTAGCAGCAGCAGCAACAGTGTATAAATTTTACTAAATTCCAAATTAGTATCGTGTTAAAATAAACAAGCAGAAACATTTATAAAATTTGTGGCCATTCAGTTGTTGATAGCTTAGAATTAGAGAACAGAAAGTAAAAAAACTGTAGAACCAATGACCAGTTAATGTAATATCAACGTGATTGAAAATAGGAATCATTTAACAAAAATATTTCTGCTGTCAATTTGAATAAAGTTGCAAGATGCTGTGAGAGCTTTAAAAGCTGATTTTTCATAAATAAGAAACAAAATTTGCACTGGAGAACTTTTCCAAATACCTCTTTTGATCTCTTAATTTCTCTTTACTTTCATTTTCAGTGTTTGAGCTGTTGTCTTTGTCATTGTTGTTGTTTGTCTATTCCACACCCTCCCCTTCCCACTACCTATTGGAGTCAGCTGTTTCTCTACCAAACATCTATCTGTGCATGAAAAACCTTTGGCCCATTACCAAAGATCAGATGTATCAAGCACGTTTTCATCCCTTCATTGTCTTACTTTCCTTCTCATTTCTGAACAAATTTTGGTATCTGATTTTTGTATACAAATCATTGGCTTCTTACTAACCTTCACATATTTTTTTTTTTTTCAATGGCACCTGTTTTTTATTTTTTGCCGTAATCAACTGAATTCTTCATTTTGCTAGGAAGACTTTTTTCATTTTATTTTTCATTTGATAAGAATTTTTTTTTTTTTTTTTACTCATTCCTATTAATTGTTAATTGTTGAAAAATAAACTTTTTATAAGACTGCAATGTCCTTTACTTAAAACTATTTCCAAGTGTTAGCATATTTTATACTGATTCTATTCTATATTGATCACCTGGCAATTAGGAAAAAATTTGCTTTAAGTCTTTAGAAAATACATTCAAAGCAAACATTTGTAAATAGTTAAGACTGAAGTTATTTTGATGTTCTTAGATTAAATATTTTCATATTTTTTACTCATTTTTATTGTTGATTTCTATTTCCTTCTGTTTAATCCTAAATATTTCAGTAGCCAAAGTATTTCGGATGACATTCATGAAAGATAGACATCCAAGATGTAGGCTGCATTTCAGTTTTTATACTCAATTTCACACTATTTTGTTCTCAAAATCTAACCAGTCAAAAATGAAACTATAAAACATGCCATTAATAAGGGGAGTAAGACTAGTTTTAAGAAAGGCTTCATCTAAAAAAATTAGCAGTAATTAACAAAATTACTAATAAAATCCTAATTTTGCATAGTAGGTAAAGTAATGTAATTACATATTTATAGGTAAAAAGTTGAATTTCACAAACTAGTATTCAAGGAAAGCAAGCTTTTGTCAATTAGGACATCAGTGTAACTCCTTCCTCTTTTCGTTTTGGGCAAAATTAACCAAGTTTTATAAATATCAATCTAATTCTTACAATAAAAATAAATCAAAGGGAAGTAATTCGATTCACTCTAATTAAAATTGTATGTTTAAACTTTTTCTTCCTGGTGTCAGACAGTTGGCCTCATCTACAAAAGCACATTCATAGTTCTATCAGCACTCAGAAAAAGTTGGAACAGATGTTTTCCTTCCTTTCCAAAAGCAAGAAAAAAATGTCAGAAACGTAAAGTGTCCTTACAATTTTGACTATTGGTCCAGGAAGACTAAAATAATAAATTTTTTTTTTAGTTCCCAGCTGACTCATTCCTCTTGCCTTTCTTCTTGTCTTGATCCTTCCATACTATCTTTACTATTTACTTTTTATTAAAATCGTTTCTTTCTCTCTCTCCCTTCATACTCTCAGCATATGCCTGACAATAGGAAAGATTATTTTTATGATTGTCATTGTATAAACCATTACCTAATTTCTGTATTTCCTTTTATTGTCTATGTAACCTGCTAGATAGTTGTCATTTATCATTACCAATTTTAACAATTCATACCAATGCCTCTTTCTCTTTGTTTTCTTCCAGTGCGTCGAACACTGAAGGGAGGCCTGGACTTGGAAGAGCTTGAAACCATTGCCGCTTATCAGGAAGAAGTTTGAAGTTACTGCAGTTTTTACTCCAGTGCTGAATCCGCCTCTGCACTGTAGTCAGATGCATGTTAACTGCAAAGATCCGCCCATAAACAGACAAATTGTGCAGCTGTGGCAGTAGCAGGGACATATGCATATGTGCCTTGCGTGTTTGCTTGGCTTGCCTCTGTCTGCCTTTTGACTTGTCCATTTGACAGTCTTACCTTGTCTTTCACTATTCTTACCATTTCTTATTGTGACAATTACAATCTGCCATCCTGCCACAGATTTGTGACTCTTATTATTTATTGCGATGGTCTCCTGCTGCTTCCCTTCTCAAATAGTCACACACACACACACACACACACTAACTTGGTACATGCTAACAAAATAAGCATATGACTTAGTCACTCTAACAGTGACCCTTGCTACCTGTCCAGGACAACCAATGTTCAATGTGATGATATTTTCAGTCAAGTAACTTTTGCTCAAAAAATAAAAAATACAAACATAAATTATGGTGGGGCTGCCCCCACAAGGCCCAAACATGCAGTGAACACTTTTAATAGGAAATGTTCAGATTGCAAGTTTTATGCTAAACAGAAAACAAAATCCTGGAAGTGATAAAATTTCCATTTCCACTTTTTTTTTTTTTTTTTTTTTTTTTCGTTTTTTCCATATTTTTTTTCTTTCTGTCCAATAAGTTATGAATTTCAGATTGAAAGATAAAAGAAAAATTTAAAAAAAAAGAAAATAACAAAGTGTCCTTTCATATTTTTTTTTAACTATTTTCTAAACTATTTATTTTGTTTTCAATTCTTCTAGATTGATTGTTTAAACTCAAACTCTATATTTGTACACCAAATTCTGGTCAAGAAATAACATTAAAACATAGAAACACTTTAAGATACAGACTTCTATTTTTTCTCTCTCTCTCTCTCTCTCTCAGTGTACTGTATTACAGACAATTTCTCTCCCCAGCATATACAAGCACAAGGTGTATGGAGGTGGGTATGACTTGATGTCACTTCTGGGATGGCAGCACTTTCAGCAGGAGTTTCATGCAATACATATATACAACCTTTCCAGAGAAAATTATTTTCAAATTGTAAAAATTTGTAATTATAAACAAAAAATCTTTGTCAAATGAAAACTGCTGTTAATGTTGCCACAATGCATACAACTTGTAAAGTGTTTTCCTAATAGAAATTTCTAAGACAAATTTGTATTTGTGTGTATGTATGAATGAATTAATATATACACATTAATATTCTTGTGTCTTTCTCTTAAATTGGTTGTCTTTATAATGTTAGCATGTTTTTCACTAATGAAGATGTTTTATTTCAAAAACCTAAAGTCTGTGGATTCTGTTTGGTTGGCATGCTGCTCCAGTTGTTGAGATCAAATGATTGTTCAGTTCCACTGAAGAGACGTTTTTTAGAACACACACACACACACACACACACACACACACACACACTGATCTTTCTCTCAAGAAAAGGGAAATCTTAAAGGTATATAGAGAAACATTTTATAAGGCTGATTGAAAAAGTTTGTTCTTTTAGGCAAAATTTGAAATTTTGATTTTTTTAGCATACTAAAAGAATAAAGTAAATCTTTAAAAAAGTTAACTTTTGTAAAGAACAAAATTGCTATTCTATATGTTGCATTAAGATAAAAATATAAAAAATAAAAAAAAATATTTTTCTCTTTGTGTCAAGATATTCATTAAATAATTTTAATATGTACTCAAATATTTCACTGCTAATAAATTGTTTAATTTAATTTTAATTTTTTCTTAGATAAAATATTAAGAATCATGTATTTAAGAAAGCCATTTCTTTAAAAGATTCTTCTGAATCTTTTAAGAATCATTTTTCTCTTGAGTTTCTTGATCTCTGCTTAAATAGAAGAAAGGATTTTATATAAATAAGAAAAGGCAAAAAAATTATTCAAAAAGAAAAAAAAAATGAAAAAAGCAAATAAATTATCTATAAAAAAAAAGTTAAATGTATACTCCCAAAGACAAAAACGGAAAAAAATTGGGAAAAATACAAAAAAATAAAAAATTGGAAAAATGTTCTTCCACTTTAAAAAAAACAAAAATGACTAAAAAAAATTGGAAAATCTTTCAAGAAAAAAAAGAAAATATTGTTATATTTTAGTCAAAAATAACTTTTTCTTTTTTTTTTCTTAGATAACATTTGTTCATAATGATGAAATATTAAAAAAAATTCAGTGCACTATATTTTTCTTTATAAGAGGTTCTATGCAAACGTGACAACACTTGATTTTCTTATGTTTATTCCTGAAGAAATTCTCACTACAACAAAAGCCTGCACAGATTGAAAGCCAGAATGCCACATCACGCAAATGACTTCTATGCACAATCATTATAGACTCTTTTCTTTACTTTTTAAACAAGAAAATTAAATGTCTTTAAGCAAGCAAATCTTTTAGTCACCAAGGTTATGAAAAAGTTTAATTTTTCCACTTGAATGCCAAAGTAGCCAAAACATCTAAATATTCTGGACATTTGTTAAAAAATCTTTTTGGTAACTCATGTATAAAAATCACTTTAATGTTGATACAATGGTTCTTAATCAATTAATATAAAGACCAGTTCCATTAATTGAAGACTTCCTGCTCCATGATCAACATAAATATTACTAAAGTTAATTGTTCTTAGATTTTATATTTGTTGGAGTTGACACCACAAAAATGTACTACTTCAGGGTTCAAAATAAACATAATTTATTCATAATTAATGACAACTGTATATTGTAAAATTTATTGACAGTAATTCAGATTTTAATTTTAATGTTTCCATGAAGGCTTAGTTTAACTTTGAAGTTTGATTCTTAAAATCTTGGTTTCTTTATTCAGAAACCATGTCTTTTCTTTCTTTAACAATTGTTTCTGAATTAATTGCTTTGAATATCAGACAGTTAATTTGTGTAGATTAATCCTTCATCCTATATCAAAGAGACTGATGATAATTTTTTTTCTTTAAATCACTCCAATTTAACATGAAGTAGTTGTAAAGCCAATAAGAAGAGAACATAACTCATAATTGATTGCAAGATTAACTTGTTAACAATAGTCTATACTGACTTTATTATATAGATTAAAATTACTTAACCTGCTTATCTCTCCTTAACTTTAATAATGAACTAGCATAGTACCCATAAAAAATGAATCTATTATGTACATATTGATAAGCACTTCTGCATAAAATTGGAATGTAGTATCCATGCACTTTGAAAAGTGTGTGTGTATATAAAATATATACACCTGCACAACGCAATAGTTTACCCATCCCATAAATAACTATATTTTGTTAATTCCTTTCATGCAAGTCTTGGAATATGTCAATAATTCACAAGTGCAAGAAAGATAATGATTACAAGAAGTTACAAGCAATGAACACCTGTGATGTGATGGTTAGCAAGCTGTACTTGCAATTCATTCATAGTAACTTCGATCCTCATTAGGCGACTGATACATGTAACCTTGTGTCAAAACTAAGCTTAGTAAATAACATTACAAATAAAAAAAAACACTTGGTATATTAAATGGTAAGATTATTTGAGATTAGTTCTCTACACAATGGATTTGTTTGTTTTTTTTTTAATCTGCTCATTTTTAACTCCAGTTTCTTTTTTGTCTCAAACGAAAAAAAAAACAGTAGATGGATAGTGTGGTATGATGTGAAATATCTTTTCAATTTCCATTGGTTAATATTTGTTAGCTTAAGACATTCTGACTAACAGACCTCATTTAGGTAAACATATTTAAAATTCTTTTAACTGAGAATTGAGATTTACCTGCTTCCCTACCTTCCTACAATAGTAAGTTTGACTCAAGGTCACAACTAATATGGAGTCCTACATGTGGGTAGTGTCATAATTTATCCAATTCCCTAGACATTTCTTTTTTAAGATAATCTGGTCATCAGAGATTGAACCCCCACCCCTGCCTTTAGGTAAATGGAAGGGAAGCCTTCTAGGACTGAACTTAATTTATTTTGTTCTTTTTAATCCAAAAATGCCAAGAAGCCTAAGAACTGACTGTCACGCTAAGAAAACCAACACTAAATTGTTTTTGAATGTTCTCATTTCATCATTATTATGAATTAGTTTCCTGAGTTTTAGGTTGAGATGTCTATCCGTAAATTCTCTGTGGTAATACAAGATGGAAACAGGCAGTGTAAGGAAGATGAAGAACTGAAACAGAAAAGATAGAAATATGTATTTAAAAAGAAAGTCGAGGAAGATCAGGGAAAAGTGAAAAAAATTAAAAATAAAATTTAAATAATGATTTCACTGTTACAAGGTTTACAACTGGATTGTCTCATCCATAGAACAGTGTATGATGATGATGTCAATTCTGATGTACTGATGGGTCATTGTTATGTTTGCATGGTTCTTATAGCCCCAGAGATGGCATATGATAACCATTCAATTCATGATGTGACCAGGCAATGGATTTCAAGGTTATCATACTAAATGCCATGTGATAACCATGCAACTTCATGATGCTCTGCGGTGGTTGGTTGAACAGCACACAACATTAGTCATTTGATTTGACTATTTTTGTGTGCATTCTTTTGTTAAGCCCTGTCACTCACAGTTGATAAGGAAGGTGCTTCAGCTCAAGTTTAGAAAAAAAGAAAAATTCTAAAAATGACAAGTCAGCATGATTTCCAGTCACCACCATCTTTACATCATTATGGAATTTGTTACCCAAAAAAGATTTGAGATTAAAATTTGAATAAAAGTTTTGAAGGAACATTTTGCTGTGGACCGTTTAATTGGATATGAGTACACTTAAAAAAAAAAAACAAACAAGTGAACTCTTAATCATTCCAGAATTTTCATGATTTATAATTAACTAAAGTAAGGTCCAAGATGCTTAATTTAAAAATGGATCAGTTCAAGAGTTATTTGTCTGAAGCAGGTAAAATTTTATTCTAACAGGTGGAAATTTTTTCCACATTGTTGGAATATATAATTTTTCTTACC